CTTGGATTCCAAACCACCGAGCCGTATTCCAGAATCGGCCTAACTAATGTTGTAAACAGGGTTTTAGTGATATACGGGTCACTAAATTCTTTTGACCATCGTTTCACAAATGCAAGTACACCTTTAGCCTTGTTGACTGTCACATTAATGTGAAGATTAAAATTAAGCTTAGGATCCATTGTGATACCAAGGTCCACAAAATTGTATACCTGTTCCAGGTTATGGTTACCTATTATATAAGAAACTGGCAGAACAGCTCTTCGCGAGAAGCACATTACTTTACATTTCTTAAGATTTAGAGGCATAAGATTTACTTTACACCAGTAAGCCATGCTGTTTAAGTCTGATTGTAGCAAAGACCTTTCTTCAATTGAAACGTACGATTTATAAAGTTTTACATCATCTGCATACATTAAAATTTTGGAGAATTTTATATCTGTAGAAATATCGTTTATAAAAAGCAAGAACAGAATCGGGCCTAGGTGGCTACCCTGAGGGACTCCTGAAGTAACATCAATGACGTCAGAGATAGTATTTTTAAACAATACCCTTTGTAATCTATCATAGAGGTATGAAGAGATCCAACGTAGAAAATTAGGTGGAAGACCAAGAAGATCAAGTTTATAGATGAGCAACGAGTGGCACACTTTGTCAAATGCTTTACTGAAATCAGTATATATAACATCAACAGTTTTGCTCTCACTAAATGCTTTTGAGATATAGGATGTTAATTCAAGTAAATTTGTAGAAGTTGATTTGCCCTTGCAAAATCCATGTTGACTGTATGAAATGCTTGAAGTGATAGAATGCGTCAACCGATTTGTTATAATTGCTTCAAATAATTTAGGAATTGCAGAAAGCTTAGCTATGCCCCTTTAGTTCTCCACTGAAGACCTGCTACCGCTTTTATGTAAGGGGGTTATGAACGATTCCTTCCATACAGTTGGAAAAACGCCCTCTTTAAGAGACAAATTAAATAAAGCTGTTAACGGCTCATAGAGATAATCAGCACAATTTCTAAGAAAACAAGTGGGGATCTGGTCAGGACCATAACTAAAAGACTGCTTTAAGGACTTCAGGTAAACTAAAACATCATCGGGAGATATTATAGGGTTATGTATTGAGTTAATTGGACTTAGTTTAAAAGGAAAGTCAATGTATGCTTGGGAGTTAGTGGAATAATTGGATTTAAAAAACTGAGCGAACATGTTAGAAATTGTTTGATTATCACCAGAGACGGTATTTTGATACTTCATGGCGGAAGGAAACCCACGTACATTTCGCTTGGAGTTTACGAAATCATAAAATGATTTGGGGTTATATATTATACGTCGTTTGATTTTACACAAGTAATCTTTATAACACTTTTTGTTTAATTCAAAGAACTTGTGACCTAAAAGTGAGTATTTTACATAGTATGAGTGTAAGCCGGGTTTTTTGTGTAATCCAAAATAACGTGACTTTCTGTTTTTCAAGTTTCTCAGTTCTTTAGTGAACCATAACTGTGTTTGTTCTACAGGAACACACATGCGTTTAGGCACATACTTTTCAAATAATCTATGTACAGTAAAATTAAAATGTGCAACGCTTTACCCAACTTTTTCTTTGTATATAGGCCACGACAATTTAGACAATTCTTTATTCATTTTTTTAAAGTTGGCTTGCGAAAAATCAAAGCGAATATTTGCTTACTTGCTGGCAATTTACTAATCACTTGTTCCAGCAACAACGGATTGTTGAGATGCTGCTCACACTTAGCAGATTTTAAAAAGGCGACAACATTACGAACATTTGTAGAAAAGGCTATGATCTGCTCCAATTTACTCTCTTAAATTGCTGGGAAACTTTGCAGCTTACTTAGTTGACAACGAATTAATTGGTCAGACCTACCGAATCTAAATTCCAATTCTTCCATTGCTTATGGAACACCCTCTGGATAGATCCACATTGATGCTACGGCTTCTTTGGCTGCACCCACTAAACACTTGCGCAACCGCATTAAATTTTGCCTATTGTTGCAGTTGAAGACTTCTGTGCTGTCTTTGAAGTTGGCATAGAACAGAGGCCACTCTTCGGCGCTTCCGGAAAACGTGGATAGATCATATAATTTTAGCGGCGCCGTTTCCATTACTCTGGTCTCACTGTTGTTCACTGGTGGCGTGGGATTCTCTCGAGTCTGCAACGGCAATACGTCTGCTAGTATTTGCTGACGAAGATTATTGAGATCCCTCTGTTGTTCCTCACTGTTGAGTCGAATTTCATCTATTGAGGTCTTTGGTGATCTCATTACTTCGATTAATGTTGCCAATTGCTCCGGCTCTGCCCGTTGTACATTTTTCGTCGTGATACTGCTATTTTCTTCTTCAACTGGCTGTTGTTGCTGACCACTTCTCAAAAAGTAATTATTTGGCATGCGCTCTACCTCCTACAGCACGATGGAAAAATTCTTCGCGCGACACAAGCACAAAATGGCGGGCTGTGCAAATTTTCAAGTAACGGCGTCGAACTTTCTGTAATCTCCCGACAGCAGAAGCAATGATGTCAAAAAAACGTGTAAAAAATGAACTCGACAGTTTTTAAATGTTAATCTTTCAGATTTATGCAAACCAGTTCAAATTAATAAACAATTTCCAAAACGTATCTATACAATGTTTGGATGCTGTTATACTGCGGTATTCAAACTGTTTGTATATGCAGAGTTGCGACACAATAGGGGTATTCTCTGAGTCGTGCAAAGCCCTTGCATGGTGCACAGATTGCACGGATTGCACGGTTAAAACCGGTTTTCGTATGGGGCAGCTTTGCAAACCGTGCACCGTGCAAGGGCTATGCAAGACTCAGAGAATACCCCTATTGCAACCAGATACATTGCACATTTTGAATATTCAATATAGCAATGAACAATTTGTCTGAATTTTCCATTTTTAAAACACAAATGGTAACCAATAACAAACGAAGCATCAACTTTGTTTCTGATGCGCTGATTGCTCTAGCGATGCGTTTCGATAACTTTTCGGCTGCGTTTTGGAACAGTATACATTGTCAATATTTTGTAGTTCGATGTTATGGAACCCTATACTTTGTACGTATGCAAAGCAATTGACGTTTTGGAAGTCAGCCCAAGTCTGCGGCTGTGGTTGCTCCTGTAAAAAATGAACTCGACAGTTTTTAAATGTTAATCTTTCAGATTTATGCAAACCAGTTCGAATTAATAAACAATTTCACTAACCATTAAAAATATATGCGTTTATTTTGTCAGCTTTAACGTGACATAATGGTTATATAGCTAATTGGCTGAGCTCTCGTTCTTCTCCTTGATCTCGTTGTTTTTT